CTGTTTTGAGAGCAAAATTTATCTCTGTAGTACTAACGTGTAGCATGAGTAGGTGTTCAAGAACTGTTTGTTAAATCGAATTAAATACGATTAATAAGAAATAAATAAGATTAATAAGCATTTCTTTTCTAAGAATAGGGATTCTCAATCTTTATTATAGCACCAGGTGCTATGTGCTCTGTGCAGAAATTTTACATTATACCACTACCTCCCTATTATGGTAATTTACATGAATATGTACAAATGAACCAACTTTGCACTAATGTCTTTACTGTGATATTTATCAGTAATTCACTAAAGAGGAACAGCAGAGTATCACTAGCTTTTCAGTATTTGAGTCCAGTATTGCAGCTTTTAAAAGTAGGTTTTTCTAAAACCAAAAATCAGAACGTTGAAATTGTCATTTTCAAAGATTTTAACCTTTTACCAAATAAGCAAAAGCCAGTCATTCACAAAGCAGAAAGGGGTCACCATTAGCTATGAATGCTTTCTATGTCTCTGGAGCTTCACATCCAACACAACTATAGCTATGAAAGAAGGGTCTGATCCATTCCTTCCTTCCTCCTTCCCTCCTTCTTCCTTATCTTTCTTTCTCTTTTTCTTGTTATATCTGATGATGGTTACTTTTTTTTTTTTTTTTTTTTTTTGAGATGGAGTCTCGTTCTGTCACCCAGGCTGGAGTGTAGTGGTGCAATCTTGGCTCACTGCAACTTCCGCCTCCCAGGTTCAAGCTATTCTCCTGCCTCAGCCTCCTGAGTAGCTGGGACTACAGGCACACACCGCCATGCCCAGCTAATTCTTGTATTTTTAGTAGAGATGGGGTTTCACCATGTTGGCCAGGATGGTCTCGATTTCCTGACCTCAGGTGATCCACCCGCCTCAGCCTCCCAAAGTGCTGGGATTACAGATGTGAGCCACCACACCTGTCTGATGGTTATTTTCAATCCCAAGATATGCACTTTATCCAGTAAAAATTGGACTGAAGAATTTAGGAATTCTAAAATAAAAATTCGAATTGGAAAAATAAAAATTTACTTCATGGAGATTTAAATACAATAAGGAGAGTGACAGGGGTTGTGAGTGCCCCTTCATTCATGACACTCTAGCTGTCAGGTCTGGGATTTGATTTTACCCTACTTACAAACTAAGTTAAACTGTTACTGGCTCATGGATGCTTTTACCAGAAGACACCAGACTCTTAGGTTGGGGACAATGTATTGATATTACTTACAGCACAGCAAACACCTTGAGCATCGACATATTTGTGCCAGTTATTCTTGCTTTCAGGTCCCATGAGGCAATGTAATGGTACCAGATGGATGTCATGCATAGAGTGGATTTGTGCTACAGTTGAGAAACACTGAACTTGGGAATCCACTGCTTTTATAGTAAGCAGTAAGTAAACCTGGTTTTTGTCTCAGACTGAGATGTTACCTCATCTCTCAAGGCAACTAGCTGCAAACAACCCTTAGAAATGGCCTGTATAAAAGAGTACTCAGGGCCTTGCAATCTTGGCACACCCAGCAAGATGTATATAGGAGTGCAAGAAAACCAAGGAAGATTGTTTCTTTTAGTAATCACACCAGCATCTCTGAAGAATGGCCCTGGTTGGGCACAGATGGATCATGCCTGTAATCCCAGCACTTTAGGACGTTGAGGCAGGAGGACTGCTTGAGCCCAGGAGTTCAAGGTTACAGTGAGCTATAATCACACCACTGCACTCCAGCCTGGGCTACACAGCTAGACCCCAAATCTAAAACCTTTAAAAACAGGCCAGGGTCAGTGGCTCATGCCTGTAATCCCAGCACTTTGGGAGGCTGAGGTGGATGGATCACCTGAGGTCAGGAGTTCGAGACCAGCCTGGCCAACATGGCAAAACCCCATCTCTACTAAAAATACAAAAATTAGGCCAGGCATGGTGGCTCACCCCTGTAATCCCAGCACTTTGGGAGGCCGAGGCGGGAGGATCACCTGAGGTCAGGAGTTCGAGACCAGGCTGGTCAACATGGTGAGACCCCATCTCTGTAATCCCAGCACTTTGGGAGGCCGAGGCAGGAGGATCACCTGAGGTCAGGAGTTCGAGACCAGGCTGGTCAACATGGTGAGACCCCCATCTCTACTAAAAATACAAAAAATCAGCCTGGCGTGGCAGGAGAATTTCTTGAACCTGGGAGGTAGAGGTTGCAGTGAGCCAAGATCACGCCACTGGACTCCTGCCTAGGCGACAGAGTGAGACTGTCTCAAAAAAAAAAAAAAAAAAAAAAAAAAAAAAAACCCAAAAAACAAAACAAAAAACCCCACAAAAATTAGCTGGGCATGGTGACACATGCCTGCAATCCCAGCTACTTGGGAGGCTGAGGCACAAGAATTGCTTGAACATGGGAGGTGGAGGTTGCAGTGAGTGGCGATTGAGCCAATGCACTCCAGCCTGGGTGACAGAGTGAGACTCTTAAAAAAAACAAAAAACCTACTATTTGATAGCACAAGTTGACTATAGTCAATAACTTCGTTGTACATTTTAAAATAAGAGTGTAAGGGGTTTGTAACACAAAGGATACATACTCAAGGGGATGGATACCCCATCTCCTTGATGTGATTATTTCACATTGCATGCCTGTATCAAAACATCTCATGTACCCCATAAATATATACACCTACTATGTACCCATAAAAATTAAAAAACAAATGAAACAAAGCCACTATAAACGTTTTCCAAAACGGCTGAATTCTGCATCCCTACCAGCAACATATGCAAGTTGTACTTGCTCAGCATTTTCATCTTCACCAACATTTGTAGAGTCAGTCATTTTCACTGCTAATTCTAACAGAAGTATAGTAGTATCTCATTGTGGTTTAATTTGCATTTCTTTAATGACTAATGAGGTGGAACATCATTTAACGTGCCTGTCATGTATGTATATGTATATATATATATCTTGTTTGGTGAAATCTGTTTAAATCTTTTGCCCATTTTTAAAATGCTTTTTTTTCTCAGAGTTTTGAGAATTCTTTATATACTCTGAATAAAATCTCTAAATATTTGCTTTAAAAAAACCCGTCTTAGTTTATAATACATCTGAGTATGTGTATTCAAATGACTGTGAACCACTTTAATTCCACACTTTGCCCTGAGTTTTATAACTGATTTAAGTAAATTCACAATGTTATCTTTCTGGGAATTGTTTTTCTCTATATGTAGGAATGAAGGAAATTTGTTTTACTGTCAAAATCCAACACATCTGTCTTCAAGCTCTAAAAAATATATTCTGTATAAAACTGAATACAGCCTAAAATATAGCAGAAGCTCTGCTTCCTGTTAGATATAAGTAAGTGCATTAATGTATGACCCAGGGGCAAATAAGAAAACAGTCCAACAGTGATTCCAAATGACATTAGGAACATAATGAAATTTGGAAACTCATTTCTAAATTTTTATTTATTTTTTATTTTTACTGAACCAGCAACCCAGTAAGCAATGATCTGGAAGAAACTCTTGGCCAGGTTTTGTGGCACGCGCCTGTGATCCCAGCTACTTTGGAGGCTGAGGCAAGAGGATCGCTGTTCGAGGCTACTGTAAGCTATGACTGTGCTGCTACACTCCAGCATGGGGGACAGAGCAAGACCTAGTCTCTAAATAAATAAATAATAAAGGAGAGAGAGAAAAAGAAATGCTGTTTTACCTTCCCTTACTTTCCCAGAATCCATACCTTGAAAAAAGGAACTGTTAAAAAAAAAAAAAAACAAAAAAAAACCAGAGCCAGTGTGTTTAGGTTTTGACAGTAGTGCATGCAAGCTTCTCTTAATTCAGCTCCGCTTAATTCACTCCGCACCTGCATCTGATTTGCAAAAGATGAAGTGTAAAATTTCAAAATAGCAAGTGTTTGTTACAGTGTTAACATGCGGCTCAGTGCTCTATGCAGTAGACCATGCTGCCTTGCAAATTTTCCTTAGCCAAGTCTAATTGTCACTGTAGCAAATCTACTTTAATGCTACTTGAAATGAACAGTTCGTAGTTATTAGACTGGAACCTCAAGTAGCTGCAACCGCTAGAAACTCCTCCGGTGGTTCCCCCCTCCCCGGTCTCTCCAGAGGAAAGAAGGTCGTCTTCTACACTTAACTACCATGCTTATTCATCTGGACGAAACGCTCAGTCCACTGTCGTCTTCACGGGTTATTCTCCAGTCCGGGCTTCTCCGCCGCGCACGTTATTTCCCGTAGAGCGGACACAAAATTAAGCACCTTGAGGACCAGCGGTAGACACGGATTATCTCCCGTTCCAAGCACGTCTCCCGCTAGGAACTTTTTTCACTTGTCACACTTCAGCTGCTTTTTGAGGAAAACAGGTGATATTTGGTTTCCTGCCAGTCTCCGTCACTCTCGTGGCTATGATGTCTGGGTAAAAATAGCTCACATTTTTGCTTAAAAAATAACGGCAGCGCAAATTTATGGTTAGGTTTGTCTCAAGTCTGAAAATCGCGCCTGCTAACTAGTGAGACGGAAGACACCTAAGGAGCGAGGAGCTGTGGCCGAGGCGAGGCTGCGGAGACGTTCCCACACTGGGCCGCGGGACCACCCACCTCGCTAGAAACTCAGTCCTCTCACCCTAAGAAGTTTGGGGCAGCTGGATGACTCCACCGCCCGCTTCCGGACCCGCTCCAGCGCCGCTTCCGGACCCGCTCCTCGGCTAGCGCAGGAACTTGCTCTCCCAGCAGGCCCCGCGCGGTGCGCCTCTCGGCGCGTTCCGGGTCCTGTGACAGCTCGGCCCGCATGCCCCACCCGCGGCCCCACCCGCTGCCCCACCCCCTGGCTCCGGGCTCGTTCCCCGACTCCCGCGAGTTCCAGTCCCAGCTTCCAGCTCCCCAGCCCCGCCCTCAGCCGCGCGCGCTCTCCCCGCCCCGCCCCCGCTGCTCCGCGTGCGGTCCCCACAGCCAATGGGGTTCAGGGCCGCGTGCGCAGATTCAAACGGCGGCTCTTGAGGGAGGCTGGGCGCGAGATTCGGCGGTGCGGACAAAACCCTGCAGGAGACTGCGAGCCCTGCAGAACTGCTAGCTGCGGGGAGAGGGGAGGGTCGGCGCCTGTGGCGGAGCCGGTCTGGGACCGGGGCGGGGAGGCTGACAAGCGGCGGGAGAAGCCGGCGGAGGGCGGGATCGCGCCTCCTGACATGTTGGGGGCATCCCTGGCAGGGCCGGGCCGGGGCTAAGAGCGGCACTGCGGGCCGGGGTCGGGGGCGGGTCGCGGTCCGCCCCCGCTGTCCCTCCGTCCTACCCTGTCGAGGACGTGCGTTCCGCACTCGGCAGTCTCCAGAGGGAGCGAGGGAAGCTGCTGGAGAATCAGGGAGAAGGAGCATTCGCCGGAGGCTGGAGGAGGCTGACCCGCGTCCCCGCCCAGCCCGCTCCTATGCGGTACTTGAAGGATGGCGAAGAGGTCGCGCAGGTGGGTGGCACCCCTTTCGCTCAGGCCTGTCGGCGCCGTCTCGACTTAGATTCTCTTTCCTATCCCACTGCCCCCTCCCGCCATAAGGCCCTCCCCGGCGAGGGCAGAGGTTTTTATTCCCGCGTGCCCGCGGCCGCTTGGCCTCGATGGCCGGAGCGCAGCCGCGACGTGTGGAGAGTTGGGGACCAGGGTGTTTGAGGCGCGGGACGTACGAGATGCCCAGGTTTCTCCGTGGCTCTCCTCACAGTGCGTGTCCAGGCTCCTGACCTCACGCTGCCACTTCTTCGGGGCAGGTTTCTTGCCAGGTAAGTCGAGCGCTTTTAGGGAGTTCGCTACGCAGAGAAAACTGGCTGTGTCCTGCCAGGAGGACTTGAAAATGGTGTTCGGGCGACTCTTTTCTGAATGACAGTACAGTCAAAATAGGAACTCCGCGGTGAACCTGGGCAGCCACCCCTCTGCCAACCTAGCTATCTTGAAACGTTGTGGAAAATCCTCTGGGGAATAGCTGAGCGAACCTTTTCGATGTTTTCTGTAATTTCCATACCCATATTCTCAGCTTTATGTATATATGTATATTTTAATATCCTCTATTGGGACCATGTCACATAGTAACAACTAGTAGTAACAGCTAGTAGCTTGATCTTAAAATAAAACAATGTGTTTGATTCACTTAATATTTTGAGTGTCTGTGTTTGACTCTGACCGTACCTAAGTGTTGCACAGAGGTAAAGCACTTTTTTCCACCTTTGCCTGGAAAATGTGCTAGGATGAATTTATGTGTCTACTTTTTGTTTACATGCCATTACAGCAGCTACTCATAAATTATGTGGAGTAATTGCTTAGATAACAAAAATATAGGGTGTCTTCTGATTTTCAGCATTATCAGATAAACCTGAAAAGATGTTTGGCAGAATTTCCAAATTTTTTTTTATCTAGATCCACAGCCCCAAAATCTTAACTAGAGATGTGTTTCCTAAGTTGAAATTTAGTAATGGGGGTCATTCACTGCAGAGTTCTGCTAAAAATTGGCAGTAACTATACATAATTGTTTTTTGCTTTGTCTGTTAAATATCTGCTGTGTGCAGGATGCTTCTGCAGAAATCCTTAAGTCCCGGTAAACTTACTAGTTTTGTACTAAGTTATAGGACAAACCCTTGAGATGATATAAATGTATACACAGACCCCTCTAAAACTGTTTTCAACCTTTGCACTATTGACATCTTGGGCCAGATAATTCTTGTAATGGGGAGATGTTTAGCAGCATCCCTGGCTTCTACCCAGTAGAGATAGGAACACTCCACTTCCCTCAGTCATGACAGTTAAAATGTCTCCAGACATTGCCAGATATATTTTGGGGGACAAAATCACTCAGGAAAGAACCACCCCTCTAGAACTTCAAGGACCCAATTAACATCAATCTTCAGAAAAGATAGATATTTAAACCTCTTGTAATTATGATTGCTGAAGTACTGGTTTAGGCTTTTTGAATTTTTAAATTTAAAAAAATGTAAAAATAAGATGACAATTGAATATGTTAACTCAATAACAAGTTTATTAATGTGTGATATCTACTTATCAGTATTGCTGTTAATCTTATTTGAAACAGTTTCTTGGCTAATTCTGTCATCAGCATTTAGTTAAATTAAAATTATGACTAGACATGAATGTTTAAATGTCAGAACCTTCCCCTCCCCAAAGGGTTTTCTGTCAATTTCATATGTATGAAGTGTATGTTTCATAATAATAGACAAAGGAGAAATAACTTAATGTTAGTTTGCCTATGTAAGTTGTTTTATTGAGAATACTGTGAGCTTGAAATCTAAATATTGTACTTTTGACATTTATCCCTTGCCAGTTGTGTAAGTTAATTTAAACATGATAGAGTGATTTAAAGAGTCAAATCTCGAGTAATTAAATGTGGTGGGGTGAAGCTACACTGTCCCTGGGAGTATACAGATAGAGGATGTGGGAGAAATTATCATCTCTGAATGATGTATCTCTTAAGTCTTCATACTTGAATGTGTTTCATACTCTAAATTACATTTCTTGCATACGTAAATATGATTTACATATCTTAGACGATAGTAGATGCTCTGCTTTTGTGCTTCAACCAAAAACAAAAGAAGATAGCATGTGAATTGTTTTGAAGCAAAAATAATGTAGTCATTGGGAAAAATCTCTCTTGCCTTTTAGCTAAGTATCTTAATATATTTGAACTCAATTTATAGCTGAAAGGGAAAAGAAATAAAAGTTACTTCAGGTTGTAATTTGAGATCTCCAGTATACAACCATTTAAGCGGTCAAGTGAAAACTATACTTTGCTATATAAAAGTTTTGCCTAAGAGCATAGGCATAAATCCTGTAATATACGTTTCCTATGTGATCTGAAAAAAAAAAAGAAAAAAGAAAACCTAAAAGTAGAAAACTAAGTGTTACCTCAAGTGTGAAACAACTGCAGGACGTTAGCTGTTTTGACCTTTAAGATAGCTGTAGTATCTCTCCTCTAGATTTACATAAAGGAAGACTCATTTGTATTGTGACTTTAAATAATTTTACGTCCCACTGGGAATTGCAATGACAATTTACAGGCAATACTAACATTAATATATCTGTTATTAATATATATTTGACTTTTAAGCATATTTATATATACATAATTAATTTTGGATTCGAAAATCAGTTTTACCCTTTAAAGTAAACTTTAAAAAAGTCATTTAGAAACCTGCTTACTAGTAACAGATTAAAGTATTTACGCTTGGGATGGCCTATGACTATACTAACCTGAAAAGATAAAAGCCAACTCTTGAAATAGAAGATGTTTTTTCAATGTTATGTAGATGTGTGTGTGTAGGAACCAATTTTACTGTGTTGTTTCCAGCAAAACGGGTGGGGATGAAATTATACTGAAATATGAGAACTGATCTTTTAATCGGTTTTGTCATTAACTGGCAATACTGTTTGGGGAAGCTGGTAAACTCTGCCTCGGTTTTTCATCTGGTTAATGTATGGAGTTTGGATTTTATGGTCTGTAAGGTAGTTTCTAGCTTTAATATATATATTTGAAGACATTTTGTAATCTTTTCTCATTTAAAAGCATATACATACTAATGAAATAGAAAATTTCTCACATTGTTTTTGTTTATGGAATTACTAGGTAGAACTCTCTTTAGTATTGCTATTAATAATGATCAAAGGTTATGTAAAGTCAAATTTGTCTTACTATAATAATGCTGGCTTGCACAGTTCAGATTTGGAAATAAAATATTCATGTATGCAGTACATCATATTAACCACTGGGTGGCCTAATTTCACTTTATTAAATCAACCTGGTAAATTTTCATATCTTGAATATGATTGGACTTGTCCTCAAGATTGTATAATAAAGATATATTTTTTTTGTCTGTGATAAAGATTTCGGACTTGAGTTAATTTGTGATTTAAAATATTATCAACTTGATGCAATTTTACTAGAGCAAATTTTATAGAACCGGTATTTCTCTTTCTTTTAGAATAAAAAATTTTTTAAAATTTCAGTTTCCTCCTTGGAATACCTCATTTACTGGTTTAAGTGATATAATTGTTATCCTCTAAAATTGAACTTCTAAACGTTTTATCTTAACATCACATGTGAATTATTTCATCAAGTGGGTATTATTTCACAAAGTCATGACTATCATGTCCTGTTAGCTTGCACCCCAATGTTAAGTTACTCTTAACTATTTTCCTGGCCTAATGAGTTATAAATTCTTTTGTGTGCTTCCTTTGACTGTTTCATAATCACCCTAATCCCTTTACTTCATAATCTTTGAAACTGTTTCCATTTGAATATAGTAGTTTGGTTATGTATTAGACATTTATCAAATAAATATTTTCTTTGACTTAAGAAAACTAGCAGAATCATTCTGGAAACCAAGTCCTGGGTTGGAGAGTCAAAGACCGAATTAATCTATTATTGCTTTGTGACTAGAGAAATAATGTCACTTTATTTTGCTATCTTCTAGATAATTACACTAGGCTAGAAATGGTTTATTTAACTACATAGTAGGAAGCCAGTTTTATTAAATTATTACATATTATCAGCATTGATTGCTATAATACAGAAATGTCAAAAGATTATATAAAAGTAGACAGAACAGATCCATTTTGATGATGTCTAATCATTTTTCAGTGATGGGACTTTTTCATTGTTAAATGGTGAAAGTGGGATATTGGTGCAGTGATTTGTGGGGTTTTATCCTTTCCCTGTTTTCTTTGCAAATTATAGGCATTCTCAGGCATCTTTCTTTGTAGCTAGTGATGTTGATACATATCTAGGATCTTTTTTTTGGTTATATGTATTTGGAAGTTAACATTGTCTTTTCAATACTCACTTACATATATGTAGAAATAACTCGATGCCATAACTAAGAAGGAGGTGGACTCTAGGAAAGTCCCAGTGGTAAATAATTCTAAGAATTCTACTTGCTCCCTGACACCCATTCAAAAAGCCCAGCTTACTGAACATTGAATGGGCTGTATAACTCAGTGTCTGAAACTGATGACCATGCTGAAATGCAAAACAGAGAATGAAACCTCATGTAGAAATAGAAATTTCTCACAATAAAGTGGGTAAAAAGTAAGGGGCAAAATTTTACAGTTAAAATGAAAAAGTTTTTAGGAAAATTACTCTTTGGAAACTCGTGTTTTTGACCAAAATAATGTTTTTGGACTCATATCCTTAAAATATTTTGTAAGAATCTTAAAGTGGGTTTCGTATAGATTAAATGTGACGTAGATAGTTTTGTGAATACTCAAGATTTATATGGGCAAATTCCCAAGGTAAAAAATATTTTGACTTAGAAATAACTTGTATTTTAAAGCAGTCTCAAATACGCTGTTATGGAAACTTTGGGGATCTGAAGAGAGGGAGGAAAAGAAAGAGACCCTGTGGAAAGCATGCCTGAGGGCTATTTGGGGTGTCAGGAAGTGGTAATGTTGCTGGTGGCATTTCTAAGAAAGGT